TTCCTGAGAGCGTTAAAGATACCCATAATTTTTTTTTAGCTGAAAGGGCTTTCCCCAGAGGCTAAATTTATAATCTAATAACAATCATCATTTTTCATCTCCCTAAACAGACTTTCAGAAAAAGATGTTTCTGAAGCCAAATTTACAAGTTATGCAATACTTCTACACCATTAGTAAAGGAGAATGGCCCTAACGTAACTCCCGAGGTGCCATCTACAAGGCCATGTCCTTATGTACTAACTTTGACTCATAATGAATTAGACTCACATCCATATCCATTTAGCAGCACCACCATTCTGGCTCGCTAATCATTGGAAAAATGTCAATGAAGAGTTCTGAGAGCTCTGTACAGACTATTCATATGATTCTTTGCATTTCTCTCCTATCAGGAGGATAATGTTTTTACAGCAGGCAAAAACAACAAATGACTCTGGAACAGTAATTCAGCAGTGCTCAGTTACTGACTGAAAGCAGCTCGTTCAGGGATTGTGCCAGTGCTGAAGAGAGATGAGAACTCCGGACGACTGCTGCAGTCAGCATTTTGACTCTTCTTTACAGATGGTGATGATGGTCTTCCTACATCCCGAGGCACATCGCCAGTGCTTTATGGGAAGAATTCTTCCAGGTGTCTGTGAAATTATTTTCTTATTTAGAAATTCTTGGCAAGGATGTGGTAAGGTCCAAGGGCTTCACTATTTTTTACTTTGCCTGCCTTGTCAAATTCCATCAAAGTTGAATATTATCCTTTGCAACTTCTTGAGTATTCTGTATCATAGAGAGCCTTGTGCATAATGGTGGAAGACTTTTAGGAGATTGATAAATTATTACCACAAAAAAATTCTTTCTCCAAAGGTCGTCGTGCTGAAGGGGTAGAATGCTTGCTCTTTCGGTAACTTGATTTACAAGACACTCCACAGTACCAATTAATGGCAGCCCAAAAGATGTAAGTGAACATACGTAAGAGCCAGAAATCATGAAAATGCAGTAGGTTTTAAGGTCAGTCTAAGGTTCCTTAACTCTTGAGGGTCTGTCAGGCCTGATCTGCCTGTAGGGAATTGCTCTCTGGATAACTTCGAGAGGAAGTGAACTTGGGTAAGGCGATTTCGGAGTGAGGGCATTTGCTTTGTCATGAATAGGCTTCACCTTCTCAGCTCCTAAGTTTTCATATTTTAGTAGAGGATATCATGTGTGTCTATCTCTGAAAATTTCTGTCATCATTACTTTTCTAGTTATCTAAATGTGCTTAACAATTTAGGATTCTGCCTAGTTCTCAGTTTAAAAGAAACATATTATTGAACAAAAATGATAAAACATTAGTATTTTAACAATCCTTCATAGATATATGGAACCACACATTACAGTAAACATAAACATAGCATAACATTCACCAAGGGATAGAATAATGGGTAAGTTTATTAAACAAGATCCTATTTGCACATAAAAACAATAAGTAAAAATTCTTAAGCATTTATTCCATGCCAGGCACAGTTCAAAGTTTTCTACATGTATTTACACACTTAATACCCATAACAAAACTTATGAGGTATAGGCTATTTTCCACATTTATAGGTAAGAAAACTGTAGGATTTTGTAGGTTAGTATTTTGATCAACATCAAACTGTTAGTAAATGGAAAAGATGAGTTAAAAGTCAAGCAGTCTAGCTTTGGAGCATGCTACCTGAACTATTATTTTATACTGCCTATGGTCAAAGCAGTTATACTGCTTTGCTTTTAACAGAGGTATTGCTGGACTAAGTTTACCAGTGACCATGGGTGTTACCAGCTATACTGCGGCAATAATGCTGTGTAATAGACCACCCAAAACTTCAGTGGCATGTAAAAATTAGCGGTGATTCTTAACATCACTGATTATCAAAGAACTACACATCAAAACCACAATGAGATACCCTCTCATGCCAATCAGAATGGCAATTATTAAAAAGTCAGGAAACAATAGATGCTGATGAGGCTGTGGAGAAATAGGAAGACTTTTACACTGTTAGTGGGAGTGTAAACTAGTTCAACCATTGTGGAAGACAATATGGGAATTCCTCAAGGATCTAGAACCAAAAATACCATTGACCCAGCAATCCCATTACTGGGTAAATACGCAAAGGAATATAAGTCATTCTACTATAAAGACACATGCACATGTATGTTTACTGCAGCACTATTTACAATAGCAAAGCCATTGAACTAACCTAAATGCCCATCAATGATAGACTGGATCAAGAAAATATGGTACATATATGCCATGGAATCCCATGCAGCCATAAAAAGGAATGAGGTCATGTCCTTTGTAGGGACATAGATGAAACTGGAAGCCATCATCCTCAGCAAACTAACAGAGGAACAGAAAACCAAACACCACATGTTCTCACTCATAAGTGGGAGTTGAATATTGAGAACACATGGACCCAGAGAGGGGAATATCATACACCAGGGCTTGTTAGGGGCTGGGGGGTAGGGGGAGGGAATTTAGAGGATGGGTCAAGAGGTAAAGGGAAAAAAATGAGCATTTATTCATCATGCATCAGTGGGACGTGGCTGATCTATACTAGGCTTGGCTGGCTTTGGCTGAGCTCATTCATTCTCTGCAGAGCGGTTGTGCTCCATATACCTCACCACCATTCTTTGCTTGAATCTTGTTTGCCAAGGTTCCATTGGCCCAATGCCAGGCACATGGTAGAGGTCAAGAGTCAGAGTTGAAGCGCTCTATGAAAGGTATATGGCAATGAGTATGAGTACAGGGAGAAGTAAAGAATTGGGTCATTATTTCAATTGAGTTTAATTAGTTACAAGGAAAGTGAATTGGGCTGGAGCTAAATTTTATTCTACTCCATTCATTCATTTTTTTTTTCAGTAAACTCCCTGCAGTTTCATATATAAGCACCATCTTTACATCTTGGGCATACCAAGATAAAATTCAGGGTCGCTCCTTCAAAAAAGGAGCAATCTTATGGGTAAGATAAACAAGTCAACAGTTACAACACACCATAGTATTGTAAATAGTGTTATGAGAGCAAAAAACAGAGTCCCAGAAAAGGTTGTATTTAAGCTGAGGAAAAGCGAAAGGTTTGGGATGACTCCCTCAAGACATTGTGTGTGCTGAATCCTGAAGTGTAGATAGTTTAGACTAGAGACTGAGAGTAGCAAATGTGCTTCAAGCATTCATTAGATGCAGCAAGATGTCAAGAGATGAAGATATGAAAGTCAGATCATAAAGGGATGTGTATATCACCCTAAACAGCCCAAAATTTATCCTAAAGGCAATGGGAGGCTATGAAAGATTTTAAGCAAATTACCAAATTTTGTATAAAAAGTATACACAATGACTGACAATTTTCTGATGGATACTTAAATAAGAAGGTAAGTGATATTATACAAAGGAAAGCCTTCTTCAATATGTCTTCATTTTTATATCCCCAAAGACTCTTTCCTTTTTATGTCTCAGAGTAGCATTAACTCCTGAAGGACTGATCCACATTTAATAATCAATAACATGGGAGATATACACCAAAGGGTTGATTTACATGTATGCACTGAAAAATATCACTTTCACGCAAATCACAAATATTTGAGTCAAAAAGGTTGGTACATTGACTCTCAGTGGCCAAATTATGTGGTCATGCAGTGATCATAATAAAAGCCTGTTTTATTAATTTACTGTGAAATATTATAGTGACGAGAAACACAAAATAGAAGGGAGGCAAACTTGGGAATCTGATTTCACGATGAGCATGAAATCAAAATAATGACAAGTAGATAAATTAAATGTTTAATGTTAACAGGCAAGGATATCTGATGTTTTCATCTCATGATAGAGTTGGTCTTTTCACTCAGATTAGAAAAACTTGAGACTTCCTGGCTCCAAATCCAAGATCTAGTCTTGCCAGTGGGACACAAATAACTTGACATCCAATGACAAGTGTACCCTCTCCATTTCATGATCATTACCATGTCTTCAAATACATGGCCCCTTTTACTTTATTTCCATGGTTGACTGATGCCCCTTCTGTGTGGCACCCTTTATCTTTAAACATGTTAATACTTCTACCAGAAGCCATCTGGCCTGCCCTAAGTCTACTGATCTATAATCTAATATTGATTTTATCATTTATTTCCAAGAAAGATCATTATTTCCTCCATTGTAATATTACTAGTGGGCTCCTTATTGTACTCTCTTAAAACTTAAAAACACAGACACTAGAAGGAGCTGTCTACAACGATTATATAAACATACATACGCAATCAAGTGAAAAAAAAAAGAAAACAGACATTTTTGGTTATTCAGTGATGGTATTCCTCTTGTGAATTTTGACCTGCAATAAAAGCACATATTTTCTCTAAGTTTTTTAGACCAATATATCCAGGAAAACATGCCTTTAATACTTACGAAATTTTAACTTCAAGTCTTTCTAATTATATAGTAAAGGGCAACAGATCCCTCCAGTTAATCTTTGAAACAGAAAAATAAAGAATTTGTTTTTTCTCTGATTTCCCATTATTTTTTCTTGTGTTCTTTATTACCATAATCAAAATATTTGAGTGAAATAGAATTTTTATTTATCGATGACTGTCTTTTGTTAATGTCGAGAAACACTTCTGACACCTAAATAATACTTTGATTACAGGATTCCTGGTTTTTGGCAACAAATTAAGGAAAGGAAATAATTAGTCTCCAAATTACACACTGATATTGGGTGTATATGGCTTTAACTATGTTGAGGCAGCATAAGCAATTAAAATTAGGTATTGCATGCACCCAGGATATATGAGTTAGGCAGAAAGTCAGAAGAAGTTAACACCTGTGTAGAAATATTGCTACTTTGGTTTCATTTCTGTTTTTTGTTGTGTTTTACATCTGAGTTAGGGATTGAAAGATGCAAGATTACTATTTTTAACAGAATGCTTTCGTTTAAAAGTAGTAGAAACAACTCAAACAAGCTTAATTAATATAGATAATTTATTGTTTTAGTGATTGAGAATAATTTCACGTAGTGCTTTAATGACAGCTCAAAAGAAATTCCCAGGACCTGTCTTTATACTTTTTGCATTTCTCAACTTCTCTTCCTGCGTGTTTGCTTCACTCCTTGGAGGCTTCTCTCTCTTGATTCAAGATGAATGATGGTGGCTTCCCCAAAATCATACTTCTGCATTGCTATGAAGCAAAAGCAAAGAAGGACATTTCTACCACAGTCTCCAACTACATGCTCTGAGATTCACTCTGATCAAACCAGCTAAACAACAGGCCATCTGGGAACAAATGTGGCTAGGGAGCCCACGTGCCATGACTGTTCCTAGCAAACATGTTCAGTTTCCTGTAGCACATGGTTGTCGTGGGAGCAGGAAGGAGACGTTCATTAAAATCAGAGTAGTGTACCAAGATAAAGGGAATAAATTTAGAGGTAAATAAATGACCTTACACTCTGCTTTTAATATCAAATATATGCATTAAAAATATTTCTGCCCAGAGATAAAGCCACACATTTGTGGTCAGTTGATTTTCAACAAAGGTGCCAAGAACAGACACAAAACATGGAGAGTCTCTTCAATAAATGGTGTTGGGAAAACTGGATATCCACTTCCAGAAGAATAAAACTAGACCCTTATCTCACACCATATATGAAAATCAACTGAAAATGGATTAAAGACTTAAACACAAAACCTGAAACTATAAAACTGCTAGAAGAAAATATAGAGGACAGTTCCATTGGTCTGGGCAATGATTTTTTTTAATATGACTCCAAAGCACAGGCAACAAAAAGAAAAATAGATAAATGAGATTATGAAAAAAAAATAGTTTCTGCGCAGCAAAGGAAACAATCAGTAGAGTGAAAGACAACTTATGGAATGGGAGAAAGTAGTTGCAAACCATACATCTGATAAGGCATTGACACCCAAAATATATAAGAAACTCAAACAACTCAACAGAAAGAAAAAAAAAAACTGATTTAAAAATGGGCAAAGGACCAAGAGAGATATTTCTCAAGAGAAGAAATATAATGGGCAAGAAATATATTTAAAAATTCTTGACATTACTTAACATCAGAGAAATGCAAATTAAAACCGCAATGAGATTTCACTTCACAACTCTTTGAATGACTGTTATGAAAAAGACGAAAGATAGCAAGTGCTGTCAAGGATTGGAGAAAAGGTGACCCTTGTACACTGTTGATGGGAATGTAAATTTGTATGGTCATTATGGAAAACAGTAAGGAAGTCCCTCAAGAAATTAAAAATAGAGCTATACTATGATCCAGCAGATCCACTACTGGGTATATATCAAAAGAAATGAAATCAGCACGTTGAAGAGATACCTGCACTTCCATGTTTATTGCACCATTGTTTACAATAGCAAAGATAAGAAATCTACCTAAGCATCCATCAATGGATGAATGAATAAAGAAAATGTGATATATAAATATAACGGAATACTTTTCAATCTTAAAGAGAAGGAAATCTTGTCATTTTTCACAACACGGATGATCCTGGAGATTAAGTGAAATAAACCACACACAGAAAAATGATTACTGAATTTCCTCACTTATATGTGAAATTTTAAAAAGTTAAACTCATAGAATGATGGTTACCAGGGGCTGGTGTGGGGGTGTAGGGGAAGATTTTGGAAGTACACCAAAGATATTTGATCGAAGTACAATGGAAGATTTTGATTGAAGTACAATGTTGGTTAGATAGGAAGAAAAAGTTCAAGAGATCCACGGTAAAACATAGTGACTATAGTTAATAACAACATATTGCATTTTGAAAATCATATTTTTCTCTTCTCACCATTAAAAAAATGATGTTTGTGATGTAATGCACACGTTAATTACTAGATTGAGTCATTCAACAATGTATATATATTTCAAAACATCATGTTGTACACAATAAATGCATACAATTTTTATTTGTCAATTAATAAAATAAAATATTTTAAAATTCCTATTCACAGTTTTATGTTTAGGTAATATGAATAGGATATTATTCAAGCACCAAAAATAAAATTTTAGTAGAGTTTTCATTTTAAAAATCCCATTAATCTAGTATAAAAGGATTAACTAGATTGAAATTATTAATATATGCTTTTGCCCACAACAGAATGCCAGAACCACTGCCTTTTGCCTTTAGGGTATCTCTGAAGTACCACTGCTAATCAAAAGCAGTTGAGACTGCCAAGTTCAGCTTCTCTTTCTAGAAAGCCACAAACTCACAAACTCACTCTCCAGTTTGCTGTCTTCTGTCATTGCCCTTCTCCATGACAGTAATATGGTGAATAGTATGGAGCCAGAAAGAGCAGGAACACATTACCAACAAGGAAGAAACGGCTCACCCAGCTCCAGGGTGCTGAGCTTGCAACCCACTTGTGATACTGGGTTATTTAGAAACTAGAAAGCAAATAACACACGCAAATTAAAACATATATTTCTGCATTGTAATGTTCTCTGCCTTTTTGGTGTTTTCTCCATGTTTTAACTTGTTTTATATTGGCTCTATTGAGAGATTTACATCCTACTTTTTTTCTAAAAAACTAGTAATTATCCTTTCGTAGCAACTAAACCAAATATCTGAATCTCCTTCTCCAGGAATCTTTAAATCTGCTATATTTTTATTTGTTTCTGTTTTCTAGCATTTATTCTATTTCAAGTGGCATAGACATCTTACTGGCTTTTGCAAAAGTAAATATTTTATCCCCTTTCAAGATGAATTGCAATTTTCTACCAGCCTTGAGCGGTGAGAAAATTTAAAGATGTCTACCTTATAGCATCTAGATTTCGACGAACTGAACCATCAAATTGTTCTGTGCATTTAATAAATTGTGCATTGCCCATGAATATTTCTCTAGTCAAGGTTGGTGTTATAGGAATTTAAGATACAGAAGCTCAGCAATAAAATGTATATATAACCAATGGCCTTGGAAAAGAATTGATTGAATGTGGGTTTAAAGTGAGGTTTAATACAGTCTTATAAGTATTTTAATGAATTATTAGGTATTTTATTATAACAAAAATTTAAATTATATGCTAAATAGCCAAGGAAAGATATATTTGCTTCAGATTAATATTTCTATATAATGGAATTTAACTCACTTTCAAGAGCTCCTTTTTAAATCACTACCAGCTTGTACATAATAAAGGGGGAAAAACATATTGTGAGTTACAGTTAACTATTTGAACTGGTAAATATTCTATTCCTTAATCACAACATAAAACTCCTGATCTATAAGTATTTGTTGTAATCATAGTTGACTTCAGAGGAGTTGTTGATATTAAAAATACTTAATTGTATATGTAAGGTGAATAGTTGATATAAAGAAAAGGCAATAAATGTAAAAGAAGCTTCATAGTCCATTTTCATAATTAATATCCGAATACTTTAGTTTTTCCTCTATGTCCTTCCAACTAAAACTGCTCTCAGTATTTCTAACTAAAAATAGAAGACACTGCGTCTTGCCTAGACTTTCTGAATTTTCCTACTGATGAGGCAGTGGTGGGACTCTTATTTTTCTCCTGCAGGAATGACAGATTCATTTCCCAGTTGCTGAATTACTGCTGGCAACTTTCAACTGAGTCTGCCTCAAAATTTCTTGAAGCCAGGACTCTCAAACTTTGAAGTGTATTGGGTGAGCTAAAAGCTCAGATGGCTGTTCCCCCAGACTTCTGATTTAGTAAATCTGGGGTGGAGCCCAATAGTGTGTCTTTCTAGCAAGCACCAGGGTAATGCTGATGCTACTGTTCTGGGAAGCACACTTTGGGAACCAGGGTCTTAAGCTGAAGAAAGCTGCTCACCCAAGGTGACACTTCCCATCTGGAGCAGCTCAGATCCACTGTGGGTACATAAGCCAGGCCTCCTTGCCTCAAAAGGATAAAGCGAAAGGACTATCTCAGCTCCAGATCTCCCACTGAAACAGGCTGAGCCTTTTGTTATCATTGTTTGGCATTTCAACAATTCTCTCTGTCCAATCCTATTTCCATTCTCCCCTTCTTTATAGGTGTTGATCCTGTGGGTGCAACGAGACCCAAATCAATGTGTTTAAAACATTTATCTAACATTTTAATGGCTGGTCAGCATTTGTAGAAAGCCATCCAAACTTGTGTCTATATTTTGCATTCTCCAATTCTAGGCGGATAAACTTCTCAGCTTCTACTGGCTGTGGGATGCATCTACAGAAACGTGTACAGATTCCTAATGTGCTGATCAAAATGAGTCCCACATGGGTGAAACCAGAGTCTCTGTCCAGGTAGATTTCTCTCCTGCTCTTCATACTAATATCTTTCCATTTTCTTCCTGCTTCCTATGCCACCATTTCTTGACATACTGTCAGAAGATGACCAGTTCATCTCTAGTTACCTAGTTACACAAAACAGATGCCAAAGTCATTACCCACCTCTTCTTTCCCCTTATTCTCCAAACCTAGCCCAATATCAATTTCTGTTGATTCTACCTAGAAAATCTCTCTCCAATATTTCTACACTCTTCTTTCTAACTGTCCATTTAAACCCTAGTGCAGACAAATAACATTAATCACTTAGATAACATTAAAGCCTTCCTAACTAGACCCAGGTTTTTTTTTGTTACCACTAATCTAATCTGTACCTTGGCAATGTCTCTAAAAAAATAATCTGATTTTGTTTCTTCCTTTTAATGCATTCCTTTTATCCTCTTCTGCCCCAAAATGTGCCCACAGCCCACACCCACTCTACATATACACAAATTGATCTCTGGATAAAGTTCAAAATTCTCAATTTCAGGCCTGGCGAGGTGGCTCACGCCTGTAATCCCAGCACTTTGAGAGGCTGAGGCAGGTGGATCACTTGAGGTCAGGAGTTCCAGATCAGCCTGACCAATATGGTGAAACCCCCGTCTCTACCAAAAATACAAAATTAGCTGGGCGTGGTGGTGCATACCTGTAATCCCAGCTACGTGGGAGACTGAGGCAGGAGAATTGCTTGAACCTGGGAGGCAGAGGTTGTAGTGAGCCAAGACCGTGCCATTGCACTCCAGCCTGGGAAACAAGAGCGAAACTCCATCTCCAAAAAAACAGAAAAAATCTCAACTTAGATTACAATCCTGCTCATGATCCACTCCCTCTTCTATCTCTTATCTCATCTTATATCCCCATATACAATACAATATGCTCCCATTATGCTAAACAACTGG